CACGGTCTGATTTGTTACCATTAAAACCAGTTGGTTTCCCTTCTGATTCTTTTTACTAACTTCATAATTGTATGTGGGTCCATGTGTGTGGTTATTGAGTCTTCCTTTATGTACCACTCTAGATCATTAATTTCATGAAGAAAGGGTGCCTGTTTTGCTTATAACTAACCACCTATTTCTCTATTTTGTTGGGACAGGGTCTTGCTGTCACCCAGGCTGGAGTGAAATGGTTAGATCATGGTTCACTGCAGCCTCAACCTCCCAGGTTCAAGCAATGCTCCCACCTCAGCCTCCCCAGTGGCAGGAACTACAGGCACATGCCACCATACCTGGCTACTTTTAAAATTTTTTTGTGGAAAAGGGGTCTCACTATGTTGCCCAAGTGGTCTCAAAATCCTGAGCTCAAGCAGTCCTCCCATCTGAGCCTCCTGAAGTGCTAAGATTACAGATGTGAGCTATCATACCTGGCCTTACTTCTTAGCAAAGTACCTTGGACACAGAAATTGGAAAATAAATGCTTTCGAATGATCAAATGGGTCCACATTGCCTAAGGCCTGGCACTTCACAGGTCTTCCATGAGCCTTCTTATATAAAAATGCATACATACTGATAGATGAAAGGATGAAGAAATAGATAGATAGATAGATGGATATTAGTAATACAAGAAGTCAAAAAAATAACAAAATGAATTTCGTAAACAAACCTTCTAACATTTGAAAATTCATTATTTCAACCGAACAACTATCTGGCTTAATTAATTTTTCATTTTTTAATTGGGTTGCTTGGTTACATACATTATATAAAGGCCCATGGATGGATATAAGACAGTGAGTGCTGAATCAGTAAAACCTTAGCTACATATCCAAATTAAAAACTTCTAGGTCTTATACTCCTAATGACAATTCTGCTTATTTTTATGTAAAAATCACTTTGTTGGCATAAAGATTGGGACTTGAAGGCCAGTTGCCGTGACTCACTTCTATAATCCGAGCACTGTAGGAAGCTAAGGCAGGACGATTGCTTAATCCCAGGAGTTCAAGACCAGCCCTGGCAAAATGGCAAGTCTCATCTCTGTAAAAAGTGTAAAAACTAGCACGGTGTGGTGCTGTGTTTCTGTAGTCCCAACTACTCCATTGGTTGAGGCAGGAGGATCACTTGAACCTCGGAGGTTGAGACTATAGCCATAGTCAGGCCACTGCATTCCCACCTGGGTGACCGAGCAAGATTCTGTCTCAAAAGAAAAAAAAAAGGAATTTGCAAGTTGATAAGAAATCCCATTTCTTTGGGCATGAAAGAAACAAAAATAACTCCTCCTAGGCTGTCATTATTTATTGATGTGGAGTCAAAACAAGTGACTCACCTGTACTGGTTTACACCTGTGCTATTTACTTTGTTAAAGAGCAAAGTGAGGGTACTGCATATTCCAAGAGAGATTTTTAAAAATATTTTTTATTGCACTTTAGGTTCTAGGGTACATGTGCAGAACATGTAGGATTGTTACATAGGTACACGGTACATACAGGACAATGTGGTTTGCTGCCTCTATGCCTGTCACCTACATCTGGCATTTCTCCCCATGTTATGCCTCCCCAACTCCCTGCTCTCTGTTGTCACTCCCCTAGACCCCCCCAACGAACCCCAGTGTGTGACATTCACCTCCTTGTGTTCATGTGTTCTCATTGTACCACACCCGTCTATGAGTGAGAACATGTGGTGTTTAATTTTCTGGTTTTGTGTCAGTTTGCTGAGAATGATGGTTTCCAGATTCATCTATGTCCCTGCAAAGGATTGGAACTCATCATTTGTTATGGCTGCATAGTATTCCATGGTGTATATGTGCCACATTTTCCTTGTCCAGTCTATCATCGATGGGCATTTGGGTTGTTTCCAAGTCTCTGCTATTGTAAACAGTGCTGCAATGAACATATATGGGCATGTGTCTTTATAACAGAATGATTTATAATCCTTTGAATATATACCCAGGAATGGGATTGATTGCTGGGTCAAATGGAATTTCTATTTCTAGATCCTTGAGGAATCGCCACACTATCTTCCACAATGGTTGAACTAATTTACACTCTCATCAACAGTGTAAAAGTGTTTCTATTTCTCTACATCCTCTCCAGCATCTGTTTTCTCCAGATTTTTAAATGATCACCATTCTAACTGGTGTGAGATGGTATCTAAATGTGGTTTTGATTTGCATTTCTCTAATGACCAGTGATGATGAGCATATTTTCATATGTTTGTCAGCCTCATATATCTCTTCTTTTGAAAAGTGTCTGTTCATATTCTTTGCCCTACTTTTTATTGGGTTTGTTTGTTTTTTTTCTTGTAAATCTGTTTTAGTTCTTTGTAGATTCTATATAGCAACCCTTTGTCAGACGGGTAGATTGCAAAATTTTTTCCCATTCTGTTGTTTGCCAGTGCTTTCTAATGATTGTTTCTTTTGCTGTCCAGAAGCTCTAGAGTTTAATTGGATCCCATTTGTCTATTTTAGCTTTTGTTGCCAACGCTTTTGGTGTTTTAGTCATGAAGTCCTTGCCTATGCCTATGTCCTGAATGGCTTTGCCTAGGTTTTCTTCTAGGGTTTTGATGGTGTTAGGTCTTATGTTTAAGTCTTTATTCCATCTGGAGTTAATTTTAATGTAAGGTGTCAGGAAGGGGACCAGTTTCTCCTTTCTGCACATGGCTAGCCAGTTTTTCCAACACCATTTATTAAACAGGGAATCCTTTCCCCATTGCTTGTTTTTATCAGGTTTGTCAAAGATCGGATGGTTGTAGATGTGTGGCATTGCCTCTGAGGCCTCAGTTCTGTTCCATTGGTCTATATGTCTGTTTTGGTACCAGTACCATGCTGTTTTGATTACTGTAGGCTTGTAGTGTAGTTTGAAGTCAGATAGCATGATGCCTCCAACTTTGCCCTTTTTGCTTAGAATTGACTTGGCTATGAGGGCTCTCTTTTGGTTCCATATGAAGTTTAAGGTGTTTTTTTTTTTTTTTTTCATTTCTGTGAAGAGGGTCATCTGTACCTTGATGGGGATAAGGTTGAATCTATAAATGACTTTGGGCAGTATGCCATTTTTACAACATTGATTCTTCCTAATCATGAGCATGGAATATTTCTCCATCTGTTTGTGTCCTCTCTTATTTCTCTGACAGTGGTTTGTATTTCTCTTTGAAGAGGTACTTTACATCCTTTGTTGGTTGTATTCCTAGGTATTTTATTCTCTTTGTAGCAATTGTGAATGGTAGTTCGTTCTTGATTTGGCTCTCTTGAAGTCTCTTATTGGTGTAAAGGAATGCTTGTGATTTCTGCACATTGATTTTGTATCCTGAGACTTTGCTGATGTTGCTGATCAGTTTCAGGAGCTTTTGGGCTGAGATGATGGGGTCTTGTAAATATACAATTGTCATCTGCAGATAGAGACAATTTGACTTCCTCCTTTCCTAATTGAATACCCTTCATTCTTTTTCTTGCCTGATTGCTCTGGCTAGAACTTCCAATACTATATTGAATAGAAGTGGTGAGAGAGGGCATCCTTGTCTGATGGCAGTTTTTAAAAGGAATGCTTTTAAATTTTTCCCATTCAGTATGCTATTGGTTGTGGGTCTGTCATAAATAGCTTTTATTATTTTGAGATATGCTCTGTCAATATCTAGTTTTTTGAGAGTTTTTAGCATAAAGGGCTATTGAATTTTGTCGAAGGTCTTCTCTGCATCTATAGAGATAATAATGTGGTTTTTGTCTTTGGCTCTGTTTATATGGTGAATTACATTTATAGACTTGAATATGTTGAACTATCCTGGCATCCCCAGGATGAAGCCTACTTGATTGTGATGGGTAAGCTTTTTGATGTGCTTTTGCAATCGGTTTGCCAGTATTTTATTGAAGATTTTTGCATCTATGTTCATCATGGATATTGGCCTGAAGTTTTCTTTTCTTGTTGAGTCTCTGCCATGTTTTGGTATTAGGATGATGGTGGTCTCATAAAATGATTTGAGAAAGATTCCCTCTCTTTGTATTTTTTGGAATAGTTTCAGAAGGAGTAGTACCAGTTCCTCTTTGTATGTCTGGTAGAATTCAGCTGTGAACCCATCTGGACTGGGCTTTTTTTGGTTGGTAGCCTGTTAATTGCTGCCTCAACTTCAGCCCCTGTTATTGGTCTATTCAGGGTTTCAACTTCTTCCTAGTTTAGGCTTGGGAGGGTGCAAGTGTCCAGGATTTTAACCATTTCTTCCAGGTTTACTGGTTTATGTGCATGGAGTTCTTGGTAGTAATCTCCGATGGTAGTTTGTATTTCTGTGTAATTGGTGGTGATATCACCTTTATCTTTTTTTATTGAATCTATTTGATTCTTCTCTCTTTTTTCTTTTATTAATCTGGCTAGTGGTCTATTTTGTTGATTTTTTCAAAAAACCACGTCCTGGATTTATTGATTTTTTGAAGGGTTTTTTTCTGTCTATCTCCTTCATTTCTGCTCTGATCTTAGTTATTTCTTGTCTTCTGCTAGCTTTGGTTTTTTTTTGTTTTTTTTTTTTTTTAATCATGCTCCTCTAGCTCTTTCCATTTAAATTGATACGGTGCTGATTTTAGATCTTTCCTTGCTTCTCATGTGGTCATTTATTGGTATAAATTTTCCTCTAGACACTGCTTTAAATTGATCCCAGAGATTCTTGTACATCGTGCCTTCGTTCTTATTGGTTTTGAACAACATCTTTATTTCTGCCTTCATTTCATTGTTTATCCTGTCAACATTCAAGATCTAGTTCTTCAGTTTTTATGAATTTGTGAGGTTCTGAGTTAGTTTCTTAATTCTGAGTTCTAATTTGATTACACTGTGGTCTGACAGACTGTGTGTCATGATATCTGTTCTTTTGCATTTGCTAAGGAGTAATTTATTTCCAATTATGTGGTCAGTTTTAGAGTATGTGTGATGTGGTGCTGTGAAGAATGTATATTTTGTGGATTTTGGGTGGAAAGGTCTGTAAATGTCTATAAAAATATGTAACGCTTCACGAATTTGCATGTCATCCTTGCACAGGGGCCATGGTAATCTCTGTATCATTCCAATTTTAGTATGTGTACTGTCGAGTGAGCACCAAAGAGAGGTTGGTTTTTTTCTTTAGCCAAGCTTAAATTTAATTTATACCAACATATTCTACTCTTATGAGGAATTATAAGCTGTGAAGTTAAGAACACCAAAAAATGTAAAAGCCATACTTGGCATCTTCAGTGATTTAATATGATTTGTTTTTTTAATTACAGATGTAAGCATATTACAAATTTTATTTGTTGAATGGCTTTCTAAAATAAGTAACAGAAAATCCAACCTATAGGAATCTATCTAAATAATACTGGGGTCACTTATGTCACATAACAAGGTATCAAGAGGCAAGTAGAGCTCTGGGCACAGAACATCAGGTTTCCTCCTCTGTGTGGCTCTTTCGTTTCATTCTCAGGCTGGAATGTGGTGAGCTTGCAATTCCAGGCATTACATCCACATGTAACAATGCCCGGAAGCTAAAATAAACAAACAAAAAAGCCAAGTGTGTCTGCCTCATTCTGTGTCTCTATTTAAAATGGAATGTACATACTCAGAATCTGAAACACTCAGTCACTTTGCAGGATTTCTCTAATTGCCAAGATTGTGTCACATTTTATGACTTAACCAATCACTGGCAAAGGAAATGAACCAGAGTTATTTGCTCAGACCAGCAGTGTTCAAACTTTTTTGTTCTCAAGATTCCTTCCCACTTTAAAAATCCTGAAGATATTGTGGATATCTGTATTTTATTATCTATCAGTGTCTGCTTTGTCTTGAATCAAAAATGAGAAAATATTAAAACAATAGTCCACAGCAAACATTCCATTAGCTATCCCAGGGATGTCATCATCAGGTATAGCGTAGCCTCTGAAAAACTCCTCTTTGTGAATGTAAGAGAATGAGAACAAAAACAGCAAATAATGTTTATTATAAAAATAAATACAATTTAAATCCAATGGATTCCTTAAGAGAATCTCAAAATCATGACCCCTGGACAAAACTTTGAGAATCACTAGATCACACTGTAAGAAGAAATACTCAGGGATTTCAGATAGAACAACCTTCTCAGTAGCATATAACTTCATGGAAGAGCATTAATACTTGCAGAAAATATTGGAATTCTGTTGGTAAAGGAAAGGGAAGTAAAATGGATGTTGGGTAGGTAACCAATAGTCAGTTACACACATGCAAGCCAATCTTTGAAAACCCAGTGACATTTTTAACATACAAATGATAAAACATATATGATAAATGTGTTTAATATGTGGCCATTTTATTAGTTATATCTAGCCCCTATACATATTCTAATGTCCAGTACATATGTGCAATTTTATCATATATATTTTAATGAAATATACTTTTTATAATTTTAAAGTCAGTTATTTCTGATGAGTCATATACTGGCTTTTATAAAGATTCAGATAGTCTAAGTTGAATAACTTAATTTTGGCCATTGTCAATTTGTAAACATGGAACTATTCACTGGAGACTGGAGTCCAGCCCCCACAAAAAAATGGTCCCACAAGTGACCATTTTATACAGTATATAGTACTGCTTGCCTTTTTGTGTTTTATAGTGCCAAGTCTCCTGTATTCTGGTACTAACTATCTCATAGTACCAGACAATATTACATCCACTCAGAATGCCCTTTGTAGTTATTGCTCCATAATAATACTAGGAGACCCTAATTATGGGTCTTCTACCAGGTTAAGTGAACCATCTTGCAGAGAAATGGCACACAGTAGCTTTACGAGTTGGAAAAACAACACACCGCTTTGATCACAAATTTTAAAGGTCATGGAACTACCATAGTTTTATTAAGATTGCTCTACCAAGATGGCTGAATACGAACAACTCTGGAGTACAGTTCTCAGCTAAAACACAGAGGGTGAGTGATCATCACATTTTCAAACAAAGTTTTACTGCCCACAGATCAGGAGATTCCTGGGTGAAAAAGCACCATGAGTGTCCAGCATGGCTGATTCAGCCAGCACAGTGGGTCTCCGCACAAAAACTCACACAAATCCAGGCATTGTATCAATTGGTGACTGGAACACGTGGGTGATAGAGTCACTCGTTCAATTGATAAAAAGGGGCTGAAACAGGGAGCCAGGTGATTGGGTTCAGCCAGTCCGACCCCCACAAAGACCAGCAATCTGAAACTCTCTAGATTGAGAGTTTAACAACAAGCACAGCTGGACCCGGGATGGTCCAGCTCTATGGGGGGAAGGGTGTCCACCATTACTGAGACAATCCACCATTACCGAGGCAGTCCATCATTACTGAGGCAGTACACCATTACCAAGGAAGGCCGCCATTACCAAGGCAGTCTGCCATTACCAAGGCAGTCTGCCATTACTGAGAGAGTCCGCCATTACTGAGGCAGTTCTAACTATACCTCTATAAACAAAACTGCAAGGAAGTTCACACAGCAGCTGGGCAGAGCCCATGGAAGCTCAGCAACACCTCTGCTGGCAGACTGTACTAGACTACCTTCTCACTGAGTAGGGCATCTCTGAAAAAAGGCAGAAGCATTGCAGGAACTTATAAGTAAAGCCCCAACTTCCCAGGACAGAGCACCTGGGAAAAAAAGGTGGTTATGAGTTCTGCTGCAGCAGACATAAATGTATCTTCCCAGCAGCTCTGAACAGAACAATGGAGCTCACAGCTCAGCAATTGAGCTCCTATAAGGGACAGACTATCTCCTCAAGCAGCTCCCCGACCCCCATATACCCAGAGACACCTTATAAAGGAGAGCTCAGGCTGATATCTGGCAGGTATACTTCTGGAACAAAGATAACAGAAGAAGAAATCGGCAGCAACTCTTACTGTTCTGTAGCCACTACAGGTGATCCCCAAGCAAGCAGGTTCTGGAGTGGACCTCCAGCAGTCCTATAGCAGAGAGGCCTGACCATTAGAAGGAAAACTTAGAAACAAAGAAATAACTTGGTCAGCAACACAAAGGATGTCCAGAGACCCCATCTGAAAGCCAACAACTACAAAGACCACAGGTAGGTAAATCCACAAACACGGGAAGTAACCAGCGCAAAGAGGATGAAAACACCCAAAACCAGAATGTCTATCATACTCCAAGAGATCACAACTCCTCATCAGCAAGGGAACAAGGGTGGATGAAGAACGATTCTGATGAATTGACAGAAACAGGCTTCAGAAGGTGGGTAATAACAAACTTCTCTGAGCTAAAAGAACATGTTCTAACACAATGCAAACAAACTAAGGACCTTGAAAAAATATTTGATGAAACGCTTACTAGAATAAACAGCTTAGAGAGAAATATAAATGAATTGATGGAGATGAAAAACACAACATGAGAACTTTGCAAAGCATACACAAGTTTCAATAGCCAAATTGACCAAGCAGATGAAAGGATATCAGAGATTGAAGATCAACTCAATGAAATAAAATAAGAAGGCAAGATTAGAGAAAAAAGAGTGAAAAGAAATGAACACAGCCTCCAAGAAATATGGGATTGTATGAAAGGACCTAATCTACATCTAATATGTGTACCTGAATGTGACAGAGAGAATGATTCCAAGCTGGAAAACACTCTTCAGGACATTATTCAGGAGAACTTCACTAACCTAACAAGGCAGGTCAATATTAATGTCCAGGAAATACAGAGAACACCACAAACATATTCCTCAAGAAGAGCAAACCCAAGGCACATAATCATCAGATTCACCAGGGTTGAAATGAAGGAAAAAATGCTAAGTGCAGCCAGAGAGAAAGATTAGGTTACCCACAAAGGGAGGCCCATCAGACTCACAGCAGATCTCTTGGCAGAACTCCTACAGGCCAGAAGAGAGTGAGGGAAAATATTCAACACCCTTAAAGAAAATAACTTTTAACCTAGAATTTCATATACAGCCAAACTAAGCTTCATAAGGGAAGGAGAAATAAAATCCTTTACAAATAAGGAATTGCTCACAGATTTCATCACCACCACATCTGCTTTACAAGAGCTCCTGAAAGAAGCACTAAACATAGAAAGTAGCAACCAGTATCAGCCACTCCAAAATGTACCAACTGGTAAAGAACACCAACACAATGAAGAAACTGCATTAACTAATGGGCAAAACTACCAGCTAGCATCAAAATGACAGGATCAAATTCAAACATAACAAAATTAACCTTAAATGTAAATGAGGTAAATGCCCCAGACAAATGACACAGACTGGCAAATTGGTTAAAAAGTTAAAACCCATCGGTGTGCTGTATTCAGGAAACCCATCTCACATGCAAGGATACACATAGGCTCAAAAAAAAGGGATGGAGGAAGATTTACCACACAAATGGAGAGCAGAAAAAAATAAAAAAAAGCAGGAGTTGTAATCCTAGTCTCTGATAAAATAGATTTTAAACCAACAAAGATAAAAAGAGACAAAAAGAAGGGTATTACATAATGGCAAAAGGATCAATGCAACAAGAAGAGCTAATGTTCCTAAACATATACACAACCAATACAGGAGCACCCAGAAACATAAAGCTAGTTCTTAATGACCTACAAAGAGACTTAGACTCCCACTTAATAATAGTGGGAGACTTTAACACTCCACTGTCAATATTAGACAGATCAATGAGACAGAAAATTGATAAGCATATCCAGTACTTGAACTTAGACCTGGACCAAGCAAACCCAATAGACATTTACAGAACTCTCTACACCAAATCCATAGGAAATACATTCTTCTCAGCACCACATCACACCTACACTAAAATTGATCACATAATTGGAAGTAAATCACTCCTCAGTAAATGCAAAAGAACAGAAATCATAACAGTCTCTCAGACCACAGTGCAATCAACTTAGAACTCAGAATTCAGAAACTAACTCAGAACCTCACAACTACATGGAAACTGAACAACTGGCTCTGGAATGTTGACTTGATAAACAATGAAATGAAGGCAGACATAAAGATGTTCTTCAAAACCAATGAGAATAAAGATATAATGGGCCAGAATCTCAGGGACATATTTAAAGCAGTGTCTAAAGGAAAATATATAGCAATAAATGACCACATAAGAAGCAAAGAA